GAAATTCAATAAGATTGGATGCGATTTGATTCAATGGAATTTGATTGAATTTCATCTGAATTACGAATTGTTTTATGTGAGTCAAAACACGTTTCTAGAACGTTATATCAACAATATCATTGCCCTCACTTTTGTACCTTCACTTTGTGTTCCTTCTAGTGTCACTACCTTCCGATATGCTTTCGTTTTATCTGAGTTGATCGCTAAAGTAGCTACTGCATATGTACAACCAATTAACTTCCTAAAGCAATAGTCAGTTTGTGAGTTAAAGCAAGGAAAGAAACCTGCTTACACACTGCAAGAAGTGAAATAATCGACCGTTTTTCGATGTGAGCGATCGATCACCTGGAAGACAACCGATAATTTTTGACGAAGTAATCGCTTGAATGTTTGAAATGATTTTAGCAGAAGTGGTGTATATGTACATTCAGTTATCAGGCACCATGTATGAGTAATGCGGATCTGTTATGCGATACGACAGAATTATTGCTACTTGGCTCTTGTTCAACTCGTTATCAGGTGAATCTGGTTTCGTTGATTTGGTCATGTTTCCTCTATAAATCTTGAGTGTGGAGCGCTTCTTTTTCGGGAAATATTTTACTTTCAAACGTGTCCTTTTGAAATTCTCTACATAACTCATCGGGTTCTGAATTTTGCTATTCAATATTTCAATCTTTAGTTTTACCATAAGGTGCCAAAAGTTGTTGCAGTGACAATAATCCTTCCATATGCGTCTTGAATTCGTTAATTATTTCATTACTCAGTACACCTTCACAATCAAATACAGTCGTTTGCCATGTCAAGCTCTCCGTTTTTCTCCCGTAATCTTGTTTGGTTCATCAGCGTGCTTATTCTAAATAAATTCGATGAAAACCTATTCATTTTATATAAAAATTTTTGCAACGAATCTAATGTCGTCATATATTTACACAATATGTAATTGTTGCTAAAAAAATTGTGTGCATGATGTAAGATATCGATAAACTATCTGTTGTAACGATCTTGTAATGCACCTAAAAAGATTCAGTGGTGATTGTTTCTTTAAAAGATGTCGATTTAATTGATAACCGTTCTGTGATCTCGATTGCGCCATTCTTATTTCATTCAGACACGTTCAAAACGCTATTCAATCAACATTAATTAGTATTAATTAAGATTAACTATAAGTATTTTTAAATAAACTATTCAAAAGTAATGAGGCATCGCTTCTTTCATACTACCCCTAATTGATTTTGAGTGAATCTCGCTCCGTCTTTCAGTTTGAAGTTTACTTCAACAAAAATCTACAATTTGAAAATTACTATTAGAAGGAAAAATTATTTTTCGTTTTTCCCCCATTCGCGCCTGTGATTTTCAGAATTCATTTTAGCAATGAAGTGAATAAATAGTTTGCATGTCGCACTTTTCCGAAAAGTATAGAACTGAAATATGGGCATGAATGTTTAGCGTATTCTCTCGTATTATTTCAGTTGGGCAATGAGTTTTCCGCCATTCCCATGCTCCAGGAAGTTTATATCTGAGTGATGCGTAAAAAATTTTTGTTATGCTGATTGATTGTGGACCTTAAAAGTTTATGAAAAATGGAGCAATTAGCACTTAGGTATAACCCGAATATTGTTACTGATTAATGCTGCACATATCGCATTGAATCGAATATTCAGATTCTTAGTTTTCATTATAATTAATGCTCGTCGATTAAGGACCGCCAGTTTAGGTTGCCAATTCGGAAATCAGTACTAATTAATGTTTTTTGTGAATGCTGTTGAATGCATATTTTTTATGTTGCATCCGGTAAATGTGTAAATAGCTTTGCAAAGCGCTTCTTGTTGTTATTCGTCTTAGTGATACTGTTGTTGTTATTGCTATTGATGGTTTTTTGGTGTTGTTTCTTCATGCAATAACTTCAGTAATAGAGCATACACGTTCAAGGTGACAGACGACTACCAAATACCGCAAGTAGAATAATTGTCTCTATGTGAATCGACAGGAACGAGGAAGTCGGCCAGTCGTCAACGATTCTTTGCACAATGAATATTCCGTATTCATTTGAAGTTCAACAATCATTCAAGGCATTCACCTCAATAATTCATTGAATTAACATCCATTTGATGTTCAATTTCCAAAAACCTTTCACTCGTCAATGCAGCAGCAATGATTGAACGACACTTGAAATAGAGATGAGATCATAAAATTACACCTCAAGCCAGTAACTTAGCAAACACAATCCGTTACCGTTTGACAGTTGTGAGTGAATGACGTCCAATGATCTCTCGCAAATTTTCTGCACCTACTGTTGGCGCCTTTTAAGTTGATTGAAAAGCATTTGTAATAGAATGCCGCTCATTAAGTCAAGATTTGTGCAAACAATCTGATATTAAACAAATACCAATGATTCCGACCGTGTTTATCGCTATCCGATTACTTATGAATAACTTTTCAGTCTGAAACAATTGAACATTCCGAAACTCCTTTGCATCACAATTTATCGTTTATTGCGAAACCAAACTTATTTGAATAGAAAAGTGTTAACTCTTAATGTAGCAAAGTGATAAATCCATATGAATAATAACAACCGATTCTACCAGTGCCAAAGTATCCACTCAGCATGCGACTAATTGTTTCGGTGTGTCACAATGAAACGTGCAATTATTTGAGTGATTGAAGGAAAAGGCATTATGATCGTATTTTTCAAAGAAAAACACTCTCGAGTTATTCTTCTTGAAGTGTGTATACTAATGTAATTCATCCCGTACAACGAAACTGTGATTGAGCATTTGAATGTTGATTACAGAAATGAATGCATCGAGAAATTTTATTGTACATCTTAAGTTTGTTGATGTCGCTGGCATTGCATTATTGCTATTAATTTTTTTCATATCATGAATGATATTGTTATCACAACCGATTCTACCAGTACCAAACTATCCACTCAGCATGCAATTAATCTGTTTACATTGCGTCCATTTCAGTGCACTTAAAAAAGTCCCGGTTTCAAAGATTGACCTTCTAACGCACGGTTTTTGTCTCAATTATCTGTTTAGAGCAACCTCATCTCTAGATATAAACTGCTACTTAATGCTTCATCGATGGCTCGAATTAAGAGTGGAACAAAATTTATCACTTAAGCGATGCAATTGTGTAAGTTCAAATGCTGTATTGGATAAGAAGTTTTCGCTTTAGTTGACAGTATTCACCTGGGCATGAGCGTTAATGAGGATCAGCATTAGACTTGTCGTTATCGAAATAATAATTCCCTTCTGTTCCATCAGTTCCTGTATGCCTAGTGATAATATTGCTGCACTGATGTTCTCAGGAAAACCATTGTTATATGATTTCAGTGTGTCAGTGTAAGTTCTCCACTGCCACATATTGTAAATGAATCAATCAGTTGACACTTACCGTGAGTGGAGCCGCTATCGTCAGTGCAATTAATGCGCAAATTTGGCACTTTATAGTTTCACAATTTGATGCTGAATCGAACTGATTTGAAAACAGTCACATTTGTTGCTTATCGCTATTAATTGCACCATTTTCGCTTCATTCAACTGCACGTTAACAAATTGAATGAGCTGGACGTAAAAACTTTAGTCATGACAGCCATTACTCCTCCTTTTCAAAAAAAATTTTCTCGTATGAAATTGCGATTTAATGGGAGGGAATATCTGAATAAAACAATTTTCGGTGTGCAAATCTACAATAATTTTTCATTGCAAGATTAAATTAATTGTTTTCGGAGTATTTCCGTAAAACGTTGATACTATACGCAGTGCTAACAGTGTCAAAAAGCGATTCAAATGAATCGATGAACATGAGTATTGTTCACATTTATGTCATTCGAAAAAATTTTGTTAGGGTAATCAAAAGTCATCTTCACATACTGTATAAAGTTGTCATTTTTTTTTTCATCAACCAATTCAATTCGTCCTTCCATTCATCTGTGCATTAATCCGATTAACTAATCACTTTCAGTTATATCATATGATCACCTTCCAACCACTGTTAATCCCTTTCACCAGTTGAACGTTATTTATCGCAGAATTTCATATTCATGCATATCTGTCAATTAGCATCGGTTAACTCGTACAGTAAATATTCTTTGGATTAGGAGCAATGCAATTTGTGATGCAAAAGATTATTCGACAGCTAGTGATTTCGACTCGTTCGTCTATAGGATTCGTTTTTTGCAGTCATACTGTTTGCGATTTCAAAACAATGAAATGAAGCGATGATCAGTTATATTGACATTATATCGGAATGAGCCAAATCAGTGCAAATATGCTAATGTAATAGATTCATTGTTGTTGATGATGTATTACTGTTCGCTGTGAAGAAACTAAAGCCCCAGTTAACAAAGTGTCTCATCTGCCGCTTCAGTAGCACCTGACATTTAATGATTTCTCGCGGATTTGCTTGCGCTAATTCGTTGAGTACTTTTCTGCCAATAATCATTCCATTAATCTAATCTCGTCGGTATTTGGGTTCCTGTAGATAGTTCGTATTCTTTTTAATATTTTCATTGGAGTGACTGACTAATATTCTTCAGAATTGTCATGTCAGTTCACTTATGAATATTCATTTAAATGTGAAACTCATGAAGAGCGCTCAAAAATTGGTTCCAGATACGATTTTATTCTTTGTACCGTATAATTCTGTTTTTTTCGCATGTTTCGGTCTCGTGTTGTCTTCTCATCATTGTCTTCTCAACTATTGTATTGTTTTAATTCGGCTGTTTCTGAAAATTGAATTATTTGCTTCATCTGTCGTCTAAACAAAATTTCGCATCGTATGAGCATAAAAGTGTTCTTGACTTTTTGAAACACCTTGATGCAATTATGATAAATGAATAAGTGGCCACGTTTAGATATTCGGTTCATGCAAGTTATAGTCTTATCTAGAATAGACTCTACTGGTGCTCCAGGTTTTCAACGTTGACTGGTTGAACAAAAAAATATTCTAATGACAAGTTTTCACGATTGAATTAATCTCTCATCAAATCAGTGCTGGACTTGTTAACTGAATATACAAATTTACAATGCAGGATATTAACGGGCTATTGGTTGGTAAACTTGATGAGTGCAGTCGAAGGTATTACCGTTTGGCAACTCTATAATCACTGTAGTTCAGCGTTTGTCCAAAGCTATATGAGGCACGCAAATGCGCGAGGTCATCAATCAAGTCATTGTCTCAGTTAGTGATTCTTTTGAATTTTTTCATTTCATTTCTTTGATTCAATCTGAGAAGCGTTTATTCTTCAGGTATTCAATGGTTGCATTACTGAACTCAATCCATTTGTTCTAAATTTCTTCTAAATGAGTTTGATTCAATGCAAAAATTCAAACTGATGATTAGCAACTCATCAGCTATTCCTCTGAATGTATTCTTTCATCTTAACACATTGTAAAGCACACAAAAAATTATTAGACTTATTCGTATGAAATGATATTAACGTACTCGGCATGTAGAGAAGGATAATCATGTTTATTGTAGCAAACGAACAGTAACAATCAACAGACAATAAAAAAATTCGATTTTACCTCTTCAACATTGACTGCGTTTCTCTATCTTAACACAACTAAAATACCCAGTTTAATAATTTAGTACGGTTTCGTTAGCGTGACACAATTCATCGAATAAGAATTTCAGCAGATTTCATCGTGCAACTTGATTCACAAGGACGTCTTCAATTGGAAAACGCTTTGACGGGTAAATTTGTTTGCTTCAATAAGAGGCAACGGCTCAGCGTTCGAGTATGGATCTAAACGATAATTTTTTTGTCATTCTTAAAAAGCATTGATTTTAAATAACATGAATGTTGTTGCATTATATAGCCAGTGAAAGATGGACCATACGTTAAGAATTCTTAGAATTGTTTCTATTTAGCTGTGGACGCTTGAAAAAAAAAAGAATTGCATTGAAAAAACTTCACCAATAAAAAACTGAGTTTCAAACACACTTCCAAGACTGCTGTTGAGTAGAGTTAATTTTCAATCGTTATTCGCTTCAAACTGTGTGTGAAAACAGCCAAAATAAAGTTGAACACATGATTTTCGATTGTTGCTTCAGTTGACTGAATAAAAAATATTTAGTTCGAAGAGTGATGCATTGCTGTATTATATAATTAAGGTTATATATGATGTGTCAGTCATTTCTTAAATTATATGTACGACAGTTTTTTGTTAAAACTTTTGTATTGTAGTGATGAAATTCACAGAGAGAAAGTTACACGGAATTGAGGATTGCTTGAGAATGTGAGTAATGCGTTTGTGATTGACTGATGCGTCATCATCAGTATATTCAGCGATGATCCATCCTCTTTTAATTCATCTTCCCATAGTTGTCTAACAACATTAATTGCACAATTAGAGTCCAGTGTTGATGTGTGCTTCTGGTTGGAATTTTCAAGGTTGAACTCGATGATATGATGATATTATTTTGTTCAAGGCCAGCTTGAAGAAACTTTCACTCTAATTATAGCATATCTCATGATCGGGATACTGGCTGAAGCTCAGTTCTATTTGATTCATTCTTGATTGTCTGTAGGCTTAGTAGCTGATGTCATCAACAATTGTAAATTACTTCCAGAAAATTTATTTTCAGAATGAGGGATCAGATGAGAAATGCTTCTTTCGTGAAAGGCTAACGCCAAACGGCTACACCGAATTCGAATCTACGTGGCGTCCTTTTTTATTTCTAGGATTTAACAGGTTCCATTCGACATACGTTATTCATTATCTCCCTCCTACGGCGATGTTAAAATTTGTCAATAATTATATTTTGTTATGGTTATCAATGACGAGTCACAGTAAGAAGAGTCTTTCAGGAAGGGTCGGTTTCAAGACCCATCTCTGTACAGCATGAAGCGTAAATGTTTTTTGTTCACGAAACTACGCCGCGAGGTTCCCTCAACAACGTTAAAGCATTGTTCTGCCGGGAAACGAAGGAACCAGAAACGACTTTCAGAAGCTGATCGTCAACGTGCCATCTATGATGCGGTTCGAGAGTCGCTATTAAGCCAGATAAGGGCATTGCCCTAATTTCTGTGTGATAATTACATATTTCAATGCACTAATTGCTCAAAAATATGCGATTTTTTCATGACTTTTTTTCTCATTTTTCAGTGCCCATTGAATAACTGTAAATAAATGACGTCTCTCATTCAGATATTTTTTTCACTTCAAATGCAAGTTATACGTTCTGGACAAGTTCCAGTTATGAATTCGATCACTTTTTGTTTACACACATGAGTTAGTGGTTTATGTCCACAACAAAGCACCGCCGAAGGTAATTAGTGAAATCAAGACGTGTTTGAACGATAAAACATTTGGTAATAATATTATATTTGTCATTTAATATAGAATGCAATATACAATATACTTCATCAAAATACATTTCATGCAATTCAAAAAAAACGAAACTTAATTTGGCAAACTAATGTGGTCAAGACGTGAAAACAATTTTAGTTAACAAGAAAATTTTCTGAGAATTCATGCCTAGGAAATACCAAGAGTACGTCGATGGAATTAAGCGAAGAACATTGAGAGAGAAGATTTGTTGACAAATGATACTGCATCATTTGACATGCATCAGCGTGTTTCCCTGCTTATTCATTTAATTACAAGATGGTGCTCACCAAGCTGGTGAGTAATTACAGTGATGAATGATTCAAATTGTATTTTGTGCCTATCAAACTTCACTGCAATGAAGTCATTTTGAAGTGATACCGAATACGATTGTGTTCACATACAACAATAAGATTTGCAATCTGCTTATGATTCTAATAGAATCCGTTGAAAAATAACTATTCACATGAATGAACTCAGTGCTAACTTCACCTATTCGCTCGTTAATAGCATCACCGAACAAATCATGACGTAATCCAATTGCTTCTTTAAAAGAAGATGCGAAACAACCGCAAGAACTGCCGCAGTTTTCATCGAAAATTCAAGTGGGTACATTTCTGAGTAAATACGAAAAAGATGAATTTCGTCGCTCACAAAATGCTCGCACTGTCAACGTCGAGCACGCTAAGAATCTTCTGAATCGTCGCTTAATTCGTCTTCTTCTTCTTCTTCGATAATCGGATCATTATCATTTGTCCTGGTATTCAACCAACGACCGATCGTAGCGAACTGTCTGCTGAAGGCCATTTCGAAACCCTACACAGATAAGCACAATTACGTTTCTTATAATCCACTTCACATCGTTTACTGCTCTTCTTTTTTGCTCGACGCATCTCTGTTCCCAAATTCAGGTTTTGTTTACAAGCTTTAGTGAACCTGGGCGTAAGAGTCAGAATTGGCTAACGAGTATTGCAATGAGCGAATGTCTTTCGGTGAAATGAAAACCAAAAAAAATCAAGGATGTTTCCTAAAATAGCGACTTAAATATGCGAAAAGTGTATTCATTCACATATAGCGATGATGGGTGCGCTCCAATTGAAACAAAAACCAACGAAGGTTGACAAATTTTCAAATATGTGTAGCTGTAATATAGGAAAAGGTGTGCCCTTCCATTTTTCAACTAAGTAGTTGGGAACATCGTAACATATTGCTCGTAACAACAAACCTGCAATGAACTTTCGATGTGTCGTTGAAGCACAACAAAAGACATCGAGACAAGCGATAACGCCAGTAATGATACTATCATTAGAATACCGTTCGATATCAAGCCACATTTTCCGACTGTTGTCATAAATAAGAATGTTTGAAAAACAGCATCAATGAATGGCTGAAACAAATGTATATCCTCGTTATAAAGCCAAAACAGTATCTTTTCATCGAAGAAATAATTGAAAGTTTATTGAAACTTTCGACACTTCTGAAGTTACCTTCAAAAATGTGTTCAACCTCTATTATACAGAACAAAGTTGTAGAAATAAACTTATCTCACTGATCAGTTATTATTTACTTCAGGTTCAATTAAATGGATGTTACAAAATGAGCTCATTTGGCTCCAAAATTTATACACATTGCTTTAGCTTAAAATTGATCTTTAGCTTAAAATTCTCATTCGCTGATTGCACTTCAGCTTAACCTGGTAAGGAATTGGACTTTATGCCAATTGTATGAACTAGCATGTGAATTATACGGCACCGTTGCTGACTCGCCCCTTCTATTGATTTTTAGCGCAATCAATAAATAAGTCGTTGCTATAGGTCGACGTGAAAGATAATACTTTTAAGTGAATGCATTTTAGTGCTATTATAATACAATGATATTCGATTAATTGCATGTTTTGAATCGAGAATTTTCACTGAGTATTAAGTACAGAATAAACGAAATTCGTTGTTTGAATAATAATTTTTCATTGAAATTTGCTTGGTTTCTGCTTTAGAATGCGCTCTTGGTGGATTGCAATGGAATGAGTACGATAATGTGTTAACTCATCTCCATAAATTTGTGGTCATGGATTTCTGCTTAGATGTTAGTGTAGGTAGGACTAGAATTCAAGTGTTGTCAACAATCCGTCAATTGCACTGAGCGATGGCAAACAAAAGAAGAAGGCGTTTGGAACGCTTTTCTGTAGGCAAAAAGAACAGTGAACTCAAGTAAACCGAGTTTTTTGGAAAGGAATAGTGTAAGAAAAAATAAATCGCGTGAAATTATTTGACAACTACCTAGAGGATTGATTTATCTAATAATTAGTTGCGTTATTACGTATTTGAGAGGATCAATTTGTTGATTTGCATTATATGATATTATGTGAAAAATAAATTGAAAACGATGAGAACAATGCGAAAAAATGAGCAAAATATTCGAAATGAATGATAAATGAGGTTAGTTGTGTTGAGAAAGCACAGCCACTTGTCGGCATCAACAAAAGACCCCCTTTTGTGGGGGGAAGTGAAAAAAAAAAGAAAATTGCGGAAACATAGGTAGCGATTGGCAATGTATCGTCACATATGCGCAAATATGAACGAGCCTTCAATTCAATATTCTGAGGTGTGATCGTTGAATGTTATAAGTGGCAAGAATTTCATCATCCTCATAAATCATGTCTATCGCAGGGAAAATAATATGAGTTTCTACCAACTTTGAAATTGTTTAGGCTCCTATCTTCCCCTTTCTTTCTGCACATGTCTCCTTTTATATTGTAATTAAACAATGATTAGATGAAATAAAACAAAATCGAACAGTGTCATCATCTGAATCCTCGACAATATCATAAATGATTGCAGTGACGAAAACAGTCGCGACAGCAGCAGCAATCACGCGATCTCCCGGTAATAGACCGGTAATAATTTTAGAGCATTGTCCGAGATAAAGAAGCGCCAAAGGAATACCAAAAACTGCGTACAAAATTGCGAATACTTTTCCACCCGTTGTCAACGCGTCAGCATCGACGAATCCTGCAAATGTATCTGGAATGAATCGCAAACAGTCTCATTGCACAAGCAATATCTAATTAAACAGAAGTTCTTAAGAAGGCTATCGCTGATCGAATCAGTTAATGAAGATTAATTAATAAAGAACGAAATTAGACTGATTAATGCTAATCTGTACGTTGCTGTTTTCTTCTTTGTTTTTGCGGCAACTTATCAAATTGCATGACCGACAGATGGTTCATTGGTGCATAAAACACAGTCTCTTGAGACAATCATACGCACTTAACTAGCTCAAGTACAATTTACTGTTGCTATCAAGGTGTTATCCATAAACACATAAACGAACCAATGGTGGTAATAAGTGAGAATGAGTGTATAAATGATTTGGTGTAGGTGTTCGTTGTTTGAGCATTCGTTGCACTACTACATGAGGCAAGTAACGCTCGTTCGTACATCTCCAACTTATGGTTCGCCATCTGTGCCCATTCATGTTCCGTTTGTGCCATTGTTTCAGCCCATAATACGTTCAACATTTCACTGCGTTGCGCATCCAACTTCTCTGCGTTTCGTTCACATTTCTGCATATCAAAATCATTTAACTGATATTCATTTATTCTGCATAAAATTGTGCAAAAAAAATGGAGTCAGTTTTCTATCAGTGAACACCTCATTGAGTGATCGTTTGCTATGCAGCAATTTTATTTGAAAAAAAAATGCGTTAAACTTAGTAAAGCTTCGGTTTTTAAAATTTGAATCAACTTACTCAACCTAATCGTTGACCTGTTAACTGAAGTCATACCTGGATTTGCTTTTTATTATGCAAATTTACTAGTTCTTAGCATGACTGGGCCAGTACATTTGTCTGTCATATGGAACCACATAACTGTTTCCAAATGCAATTTTCTTGTAAGTGTGAACATGATGTTCAACAGGCAAAAAATCATTCACGAAAGATGATTAGAAAAGGAAAAGACGTGTTGTTCGTGTATTCACTCGAATTATGAATCCCAAGAAATGAACGTTACCAAAAATGAACGTCCTATATCCTTAATTATACTATTCTTTGTGAACAATTCCTTCTATTAAACATGTTCTAATGAAATCGATTATGTCATCCATCGCTCGCATTCATCGTTTATTCTCAGCTTGGGCAAGAACTGAGAAGTTCTTTTGATGAATTTGGAGACTACACTAAATAACTCACTTTTCCTTTGCGTCAATTTTGTTTTTTCTAACGAATGTATATGTTGAGTACAGATATTTCGAACAATACGAAGTGTGGAAAAGTCTTTTCTGATGAACTAGAAGAAACAATCATATCCATCAGTTGATAGTATGAAATGATAAGGTGAATAGAATGAAAAATAGAAAGTCCAGCAATTGATTTGTTGCGTGCTTTCCTTTGATGTGCAAAATCTCTATCAAAGGTGAACTCAACTAATGATAACATTTATTTCCTTGAGTCACCTATGCCATTGATTGTTTTTATTTTCAGCGTCAAGCCATCTCATTTATTCATTTCATGGTCAGCTTTGGCAGATAGATTATTCGTATGGCTTGAATGTTGAGCGAAACCAAATTATCAGACACTGGCTGTTTTTGTGGTTTCAAAAGTAAATAAAAATGAAAATTGCCTGTGTGTCACACGATATGTTCATCATCAAGTGGTGTCATTATAAGGTTAATTATACGGTTTCAACAATAAAATTATTTATTTACGAAAAGAAACGTAGATGAAATATTTCATTCAGAATCATATCACACTTTTCATTTTGTTTTTTTTTTTTCTATTCTTTGTTCGTAAGACGAGCACTTGTTAAGTATACCACTTGTTGGATAAATAAAATTAAACAAAATGATAAATTGCCTGTCGAACGTATCCTACGATAACTGTCACTGCTTTTCGCAGGCTCGTTCAACAGTCAAATATCTGCTTATTATCAACGAGCTTTGTACGTCTTGCATGAGTCTCAATGCAAAATCAAGAAACTTCAAATAGCATTCATCATCGCCATCGTACCGAATTTTCAATTTCCATCGTTTTATAGTTATCAAGTCGTTTTTCGTATCAGTGAAATTCATTCGTTGGATTGAAGACTATCGATTATTTGATTATTTATAAGTCATGCAAGAAGTTCCAGTCATGCTCAAATCGTTTTTAGTACTGGTGCAATTAGGAATAACGAAGCTGCTCCAAGAATAGCAAGTAATTAGGTTGATATTGACAAGAAATGAATAACACTTACGATTGGTTCATGCCTTCTGGGTATCACAAATGAGAAGATGAATGCACCAAAAATAAGATATGTGAATAGAAAAATCGAGAAGAAGATGGTTCTGCGAAGTGCCAGCTCAACTCTCGGTTCCACACCACAGCCCATCGTTCGTCCACTGTTGCTGCCAACTGCTTCAGTTAACGATAAGTGTTACTGCGGCTGCACGTAACATTTTGAGAGTGAGTGAGTGAATGCTGGTTTTTATCTTTCGTTCTCTACGTCATATTCTACACTTATCTGATATTAAATGAGGTTGGCGATCTGCTAGATCAACTGCTATATTCATTTACATTTGTCTGTGAGCATAACAATTACTCGATCTCAATAATGCATTTCAAGTTGCTTACGAAAATTCATCTATCGATCGTAAATCTTCCGTGCATTCAAGCAATTTATGTGACACTCATTCGATTCTTACAAATAGACCGACACTTGCATAATCAATCGTGTACCGTTTAATAGAAGTGAAATCAAAATATAGTTAGTGTTGGAATCAGCGTTGAAAATGATTCGAAACATAACTTTTTTCCAAGATACTTCATAAACTAGCTTAGATTTAGTATTTCTGATCAGTCAATAACTGCTTAAATTTCCAGTGAGACTCAAATACTGCTCATAGTTGGAAGCTAGACACCAACACTTGAATTTGTGATAACCGAAGCACATTCCTTATTATGAATAAAATTTTGCGCCCAAAAACTGTTATATTCGTTTCTGTTTTAGAAGTCACTTTTTTGTATGATATTATTATTATTATTTAATTCAATTTCTTGTAGCAAACGAGTGAACTTATTTGAATTCATCATTTATTGACAGTCGTGAATACATCGTTTCATCTCATCGATTTATTGCTATAGGGTAATGGCAATCGTGAATTCTTCACAATCATCGACTTTTCATTCGTATGATAAGATTTTGATCTGAAAATAAGAACCGAACAAAGAAAATAAAAAGTAGAAACAAATTGATGCACTTGTCGAAAGTGTTTTATTTCCGTCTTCCATGGAAATTATTGTTCTTCATAAATTTTTGGCTCAAAACTTAAACGTCATTAGCTCAGTACAACCACTTCAAAACGACTCAGGAAACTACTTTCAATCACATGAATTCTACAAGACTCAATAAATTTTACTTTGCATGCCGAATTTCAAAAAAATTCAAAATCTCTCTTACCCCCACCCCAAACTGAACGACATCCCGTCGAAAACCATTAAATTGAATTTGCATTACAATACTCAGAAAGCTTTTCAGTGAAAATATTTGAGAATGGAAATTTGACACCGTTAAAATGAAAGAAAGCTATGAACTGATTGAAAACGTTTTGCATTACATTCATAGATGATTGTCACATGTTAGAAATAAACTGAGAATGCACTGAAACTGAACAATGTTCAGGAACACTTTTATTTGAAAAAAATCGAAAAATCGCCACATAAAACCGTTCGATAAATAAAAAGTTATTTGAAACATTTACAGCAAAAATAACTCTTTAGACGAACGAAACTTGACAATTACAACTGTTACAACACCTGAATATCCGTTATTGTTATCGATAATACAACTGATGATTATGCTAGTGTGGTGCGGGGACGAGGATAATCGGGGACGGAACCTTCCAGTTGGGGACTCCGAAAATGTTGCCGGCTCGGAAAAAGTCAAGAACGGGGTCCTCGAAATGCTCCGATCCCCGCACCACACTGTATACTATGAAAATATAACAGATATGTCAACAAATACAATGAATTATTATCACAATAAACTGTCTTTTTAAAGCAAATATTCGATAGGCGCACTGATATTAAATTGTCTAAACGATTAAATCAACACTGTTACCAACAACTATTAATTCACCATATACTCTGACTATGTTGATGACGACTGGAAAGGTAGCCAACACGAACGCCTTTGCGAGATACGAAACAATGAAAGCTAAACCTATCTAGAACATTTCATTTCGAAGATGTTTGCCCAAAATGAATTATTCTTCATTGAACTGATACCGAATGTGAATTTACTGTCAAACAAAAACGAACAAGTTCTTCAAGTTACAATTCAGATCATTTTGCTTTGTTTTTTTTGCGCAATTAGTTAAATCGCTTGACGCTATTCAAATCGATATTTATTGAATACCAGGACTCACAAAATGGAATCACAAAATCTAAATAGCATGAATCAACAGGTAAGAAAATGGCAGTCGTGAAGAAGTAAAAGGTTTGTTGCAGCGTAAAAATATCAAAAAATCAGTGTTGCTGAGCGAATTGAGAAAAATAGCTGAGCACATCTTCAATGGACACTTCGAGATCGATACGTGAACCCGCATAACACTGTCCGATAATTTGATGATAACGTTTTATTTCCTTCAGAAACTCATCCTGAAATAAACTAAACAGCTTAGCGAGTGCAGAAACAATTATATCATTTCAAATTGTGATATCTAAGTTGAACGTGAGTTCAATCGATACAATTTGCTCCGTTAGGCACAAAGCAATGTGAATGGATTGCCGATAATTTTAACGGAAAAAATACAAGAACAAGACAAAAACAAATGAAGGACATCTGGATACTGCTACAAATCAACACATGTTCTTCAACTGGCAATCAAACAGCTGCTCTTGAAGCGTCCCACTACAAAGTGACGATGATCAAACGTGCGAGATTTATTTTTGATATACTGCTTATTCATTCGATTACAACTGCTCGTTCCATCCTTGTTCACTTCGTCATTACATAATATAGTTTCAAAGACCTTTTCGTGTTTCCCTTTCCATGAACGTCTACACACTTATTTCTTAATTATTTAAAATTTGCTCATGCTCAATCATCTGCATAGATTTCAGACTATGAAATGAGTCGAAGTTGAACAAATTGATGCGACTGCAATAGAGCAAACACTTGGTTAAATTCATTCGAGCACATCACCTGCATATGCCTCCAAACCACTTGCAAAAGAGGTGAATTCTCGACGAGATGTTTCTCCAAATTCTTGTACAACTGCTCAAGACCTTTTTTTACTTCTTTGCCCGGGTACAATGATAGTACCTGAAATTCATTCCAGTCATCTAATGAAAGAATATAGCATTAAGACGATCAAGATCCGCACACTGTTCAGCAGCAATCAATTAGAAATACGATGAATTGAGGTCGTTCATCGCACAAAACATTAATCTGTATTATGTACCGGAACAATGCATCACTGACTGACAACAAATGGTAAATTTCGTACTGACAAATAGTATATGCTGACGTTTGATTTTACAATAGTTCATTTTAAACAAGCACAGTTGAAAAACAGACTGATCAAATGCAGTGAATACACATAAAAATGAATATCACTTGAAGTAAGGAATTGATTATAGTGTATTTTCTTGACTATAATGTGAAGTCTGCATACAGTTTTGAATTTTCCATCTGTACCTATGAAAGGATGGCATTATTAGACAGAATGGGATATTGAATCGACATGCATGATTAAAATTCATGGGAGGAATGTGGGTGAAATCGGCTCAGTTTTGTTCCTTCTTATCTGGAAGTTTTACTTCTGATAATTCTGCCCCTAATCGCAGTAGATAAAACGCAAAAACCTTTCACACCGAACATTCAGGTTAAAAAAACGAGAACCTTCCGGAGTTCAGCTCGACTGTACTGTTGCTGAAAAGCAACCTCTTCCGGTTTCATTCCTTGCTCTATTGCTTGTTCAATCCCCTCGAAAAACACCTGCATTATTAGGTAAATCATTTTTTTGTCATAATTTATAAAGCTGATAATGAGCCAACGGAGGCACTTTTTATCCAGAATTCCAACATCACATGTATATCAAAAAATTTCAAAGAAAAAGTTTCAAAAATATGAACTCCATAAATTTTAGTCATAGCTTCAAAAAACTTACCAACTAATTCCATAAATAGTTTAAAAATCTTATCCCGAATTCCAACATCACATAAATATCAAAAAGTTCGAAGAAAACCAATGACTATTGAAATAAAACTCCCCTCTAAGCCAGTAATCGCGTTTTCATCCTTCCTCAACATTCATTCTAGTTCCGTCTCTAAATCTGCATACAACTTGGATTTATTCACCGATAAATAGGAGTAAAACGGTACGGCTAGTAACCACTTTCCACGATATGAACTTGCTCCCATCTTTTTTTCAAAAAAGTAACATTCGAAAACTTACGTGTACTTTTTCAAGGGGTTTACCCATATACTCCTTCACGTAAACCTGGATATTGTCTTGATAGGTTTTCTTGGCTTCTTTTCGTTGAGTATCCAAGCAGGCAATTTTTAGTTCAGAAAGAATTGCTGCAATAAATGAATAAATAGATGAAAAATTACCGATATAAAAAAACAATAAGGAAAGAATGAATTTGCTGAATATTTTCATCGAACTGCGCAAACTGAATTAGTCTTAATATGACGGCAAAACCGTTTCACGGTCAAAGCATTTGATTGGTTAGGTCGGTGGTTCTGGAAGTGGACTGTTTTGGATGCAATAAGCGGTTCAAACGAGGCGAGTGATACTGAGAAACTGAAGAAGGACAACACCTGTAAGCCAAAAAGGATCAGAATCCCGAAAAGATAGACAACGATACAATATTCAGTGGTTTAGATTAATCGAATGAAATAGTACTACTATAAAAACAACAAATTATGTTAGGTAGGAGAAGAGATCATTGCTCTGTCACATTTGTAAACTTTTTTCTCGGCGTATGAACTTTAATGCGACGAATTCCAAGAAAGTTTTCATGATAAAAGCAACGAGAGAATCAAATCGCAAAATAAAGTGATTAAAAAGGAAATGAAATGGCAGATACAATAAAGATGGTGGTAATTCTCGAATCGAACAACTGCAGACGGTGATTTCGAGTAGGGCGAGACAGCGGCACGATCGATGCCTTCTTTTAAACAACAAATCAACTGCGCATACCAACGATCCAAATCTGCACGACGTTCTGTATCTGCGAACGCTGCTTCTGCTACACGTGCTATATCCTTAATTATACTTCAAATCACTTTTTTTTCTCGATTACTTCTTCGCCATGTTGTTATATTCAGCGATATTACTGCTGTCGTTGCTTTCGAAAAAAGTTATCCAGAAAATTTTAGTACGTAGGAAAGTGTTGATCAGTTCGACCAAATGCATCATGTTCCACTGAATTGTCTCGTAAGATGCTATGAATTGTTAACTTGATGATTGAGTGGCATAAATAAGTGTGCATCGTAGGATGAGTTATAAGACGAAGAAAAACAATAATCAATTCAGCAACGACAGATCCTCACATTGAAATGATCCAAATTATCCAACACTCCGATACGTGTTTTCTTTGACAGTTTTACATCAGCCAAATAGTGCGCCTCGCTATCCTATAGCATTTTTTTCATCACACAAACATGAAATCAACAAAAAAACAGTCTTTACTGAAATATTGTTCTTCAATCTATTTTTCTAACGCCGAGAACCTGCTATAAACACAAAACATGCACACAGAAAATCTTTCTGGAATTAGATTGTCATGAGCACAGAAAGTCTGATTTTCTGATTATATAAGACCACATAAAATTAAACTAAAACAAAGAATTTTAATTGCGAAAGATGAAGGCTTAAATCAAGTTAATTGAACAGACATAAATCAACATTAATTTCCCAACTCCCCAAATGATTCATTAACTGTCACTTTGAAAAGTGCAAGATTATACACCGATATTCGGTTAGAGAAATTGAATCATTACATTTAATCGGAAGAATTACGATGAAAACTGCTGCTTGATCTGGCACGAAAATCAATATGAGCACTTAGAAAATAATTTCCGACCATTCAAACAATCAGTTTCATAGCAAACGTCCAATATTGACTAAAAACACTAGTCTATCTTGTTGCTTTCAGTTTTAGAGGGACCAATATTAGGCTGATCTGATTAGCGAGCTCAAATAAATGAACGATTAACGAGAATGTACCATGAATATGTCTAACTGCCTTTTCACAAGAACAACCAAGCGCCCGAATACCATCACCGAGAAATACGAACTCGCATCTTGCAATGTCAGTGCCTTTTTCGACAGCAAAACGAACAACACAAATACAATGCTAAACTAATTGAGTGTTGAAAATATTTCACAGCATTATTGAGTTCACTTCATAAGTACGAAATGAAGGAATATTTTTGAACATAACAACCACCGGTGAGTACATATAATTGAGAACATGATGGAAAAAAATAAAACACTTACGATGGCTGTAATCGGCAACATGCCTTGATGAATTTATCCAGATGTTGATGGAGCGGTTCAAAAATGGGCGTCAATACATTGCGCATCTGACAAAAAAAATCATTTTGCAAGTCTTTGGAGAGGGGATCTTTTGAGGTCGACAATTTCCTTCTTCAAAAATTTCAGAGTGGAAAACAAGCCACTAAAAACACTAAAAAAAGGCGTTATGAGGTTGCTACTTAGTATTTGTGGTACTCAGATTGATAGAATCTAAACGGCATTGCGTTTATATGCGTTCGTGATTTATCAGAAGAAGCTGATCTAGAACCATAATTCATTGTAACTGCGTTAAATTTTTCAACAATCTAACGAGCACATAACACGGTTAATGGAAAACTGTTACATCATTTCCTGACAAACTGTATGAAATAGAAATGCGTACGGACGAAATAACGTTTCGACGTTACCAACAAAAACTACACAACTACTGCTTGTTGAATAACAGGGTCAGTCGAACACATTTCACAATTTCAGTAACGAATGAAGGTCGTAAACAAAACTCAAAAAATAAACCGATATCCACGAATATGAACAACAGACCTGATCAGCGACCTGTTTCTCAACACTACGACCTGTTCCACTTTCACCACTCGAGGTGGACTGTGCGTCAACAGTGGCCAGTAAATCACCACTCATATGGAAGAATCTAGCACAAAACTTTTGTTCAGATTCAACGACAGGACCAACTTCACCTAATACGATCTCAAGAAGCTGAAAACTGGAGAGATTCAAAAATAATTAAAAAACCAGATGAAATGAATGAAACTTCAAACAATCTAAAAGGCATCTGAAAGTTCTCAATAAAAATTATTATTTTGAGGACTTTTAATATGAGAATGTTGAATAACTCACATTCACCAAGGATTTTTGATTAACTTTCGGCTCGACGCGAAACGAACGATCTAGAGAGGATTTTGACGAATCAAAATTCTTGATTGTTGCTCTCCTTTCTGATATCACCAACTTATTCAGCTCATTATGAATCACTTCAAAGAATCGCTCGAATTCTTTTCTGTATATAACTTTCGTGTTCTGCACGTATCTCTGAAAGAAACAACAACATCATCATGATGACTCAGTGCGAGCGTGACAGGCAAATATCGAACAAAAGTTTTATAAATAAAATTATTACTTGAACTGAGGATTCATAAGCGATTGGTCTTGTCACCTTGAGCCAAGCAATTAAGTCGGAAAATGGACGTAATGCATGAAAACGTTCAGACTGCTTTCGCAAGGCCACCTCATGCCAATCAGGTGCTTCAGTTAGTTCATTCTGAGATAAACAATTTCGAGTATTTTTGTTCACGAATATTGCTAAATGGAACACGAGGTGAACCATCAAAATCCGAATTGCTTACGCATAGATTCTTTTGAAAAATCTTTCTTTTCATTTATTTGACCGCTCAAAAAATGCTGAAATGAAATTCTTCGAAGAGATTGTTAACATGCGAAAGCAGATAACAGAATATTGTTGATCAAAACTGAGGTAAAAATGCGCGAGAAATGATTACCAGATTATAAAAGAGTGCAGAGAGATGCGCCATCAACTTCTCAATGAATTCATCAGTTAATGTATTAAGTTGCTCGGATCTTTGCTTGTAAGCAGACATCATATGCAAAGACGCGTCGATTTTGGACGTACTGAATACTTGAACAGCTCGAGCTGCTGCACAGCAATGACTTATGCTACAAATGTGATAGTAAACATAGCATAACAAATGCATCAACGTCCAAAACGCATTTAACTGAACAAAAAAAGCAACATCAAAATGATTTTTGTACTAGTAACATTTCTACGAAATAAATCTTAAAATGATAAAACAAAGTTAAATTCCAGACTCAGATGAGTTCTTCCCTCCACCGTTTGATGGGAGCAATGCTCTTAAACTTATGATTGCTTTAAATGTCGATCAGCAAATCTGTAGTTTTCAGTACACAGAGATAACAAGAGCTCAAGTGAATGATAATTGGAAGAGTATCGTGAAATAAAATCATCAACCCACCTAGTCGGATCGGAGAGTTTAGCTTGCTGCAACATTCTTATATGCTCATCAGTGACCACATCAATGACATTTAACATTTCAGCTAAATACTCTCGCAGCACTCGAGTATTCTTCCGTTCAACACAGCCCAAACTGTCTTTCTCTTCGATCAATTCAACACTATCTCGGACATGCTGTAGAGCATCAAAACAATCATAATTCACTTCTATATTATTACTGATCCTCTTCCCAAGACTACCGTCTGAACGATGAGACTAACTGCTCAGGATTTCACTACTGCATAACAGATCGAATCAAGATCAATAGAAATTGCAACAAAATTGAAGCGGAAAAACACGGACAAGAACCATAAAATAACTAACAGAAAGAAGTTTATCAAACGTATCCAATTGTCCATCAAGACGATCAGTTTCTAATAATGCTGCATCAATTAATGCAATGAGATCATTCACGGCCGTTTCACTATCCATTATCGACTGTATGTTAGCACCATCGAGTTGCTGAAGTTGTTCACTAAGAACAGCGGCAAATTTATCTGCTTCGCCGATAGTCAACTGTGCACGAGCCAATAAACGCCGGAAATCAGCTTCTTCTTTCGCGGAAATTGGCTGAAATACAGAAAAAATATATATGGATCAACATTTGGTTTAAAAGGCATTGCTCGAAAATAAACTTAATACAGGACTCAAAGTCCGCGTTGCGCGGAATCTTTTTCGCTCAATTATCTAAAACTTTTGTTTGTCATCAACGTGTACATATCACTATACAATATAACAAGATTACCTCCAGTTCATTAGTTTATCTAATTGTAAGTGAAGTTTCAATATGTGACTAAAATTCCTCTCAAAAACCTGATAATCGGCGAAATTTTCTTCGGAACCATCCTCCATCTGCTCAACAGCAACTACTGCATTTGGCGTATCAACCGGTATTGGTACATTCACAAAATCGGGCTTTTGGACTGGAAGATACTTGGAAGCGAACTAAAATAAATGACCTTCATCATCAATCATTGACCTACGATAAAGATTGTTTTGCATTCGTATTGTTACAAGTTTAAAATGCTCTCACCGACATCACTCAACACGTACGCTTACATGTACTTGCCAACAATAAAACTATTATGCAAAAGCCAATTTTGTGAGAACCACTGTTTACCACAGCATTAATGAAAAGCGAGTTGAACATCAGAAAAAATGAAAAAATTCGATATTGGATACGATTCATACTTCATGTAAAGTTGCTTAAAAAATAAATAGTTGAATATGAACTTCACAAACATTTTCGAAATTCGCTAGAACAAATACGTTCAAGCATTCAAAGTTCATTCACTCACCTTGTACAATTGTTTTATGAAGGCATCTTTTTCATCAGATGTTGATGCACATAATTTATAGACATGATCACCTATCGATAGATCGAATTGTGGTAACATCTTAAAATGAACCATTAATCCAAACCAATCGAACATCAATTACCTAACTGAGACATCTAATTATTTATTTACTCAGTTGTTATTGTACGCTTCGTATATAAGCCTCTTCAAGACCACTCCAGTTATCACTATCATTACAGTTCACTGCTCTTCTCATCCATGTTTGGCCAGCTATTTTGCAAACATTGTCTCACCATCTCATTTTTGGTCGACCCCGATTTCTTTTTCCGATTCTAGGTTGCCACTGAGTGCACCTCCTCGCCCAGTTGTTAGTGTCCATTGTTGCAATTTTTCTTGCCCACTTAATTTTCCTTTCCCTTGCACATTTTACAAAGTCTTTAACTGAAAAATATGGTGGAAGTGGCCCAAAGAAGGATGGAGAGGTTGATGGTAGGGCTGAAACTACGGGATAGAGAATCGAATGAATGGTTGAGAGGTGTAACGAAAGTTAAAGCCTTTGTAACTGAGACATAAACGATCGTTTATTCGACATTCGGCCGGCACTAAGTTGCGTGAGTGGGAACGTTTTGCTTGCGAGGACAGTTCAACTCGAAGCCGAGTGGTGTGCCAATGTCACTGATGATACCGAGCTGAGCCAGGCTATGATTCGATTTATATCTAATTACCTGTTCATGCCAACAGATAACTGATTTCTGCTTCACAACACTATCAAAAACGTTCATAGGAATTGACAAATTACGCAACAATTATCTTATCCCTTCCAGTTCATAACAACGTAATTATTTCAATGAATCTAGAGGTGAATGAACGAGAATTCAACAAACCTTTCTCGGGTTAATGCCATCAACCGTCCGAACATCCCGAAGACTAAAATGATCCTTCTTTTTGAAAATATCTTCCTTCTCATTTTTCACGAAATAAAGTCGAACTTGGATAGGTTGATCGACAGTTACTAAAAAAGATTATTAACGCCACATATTTAAAACACATAATTTCTGGCACTGATAGACCTTCATATAATGTTTACGATCACCGACCGGGCAAGGGTTCCTTTGTAATAAATTAATTCAGAAGAATTGTGAAAGAAAGGGGTGGCGGAAAAAAATCGCTATTTCTATCGCAGGTATTCTCAATCATCATAACTGATCATTATTGAACTGCATTCAGTTTGGCTTATAGTTTGAATATTCTCGTGATATACACACAACTAGTGCATCCATAAATGACGGACATGACACAAACAAGCAGAAATAAATTATAATTGAACTCAACCAACCTGTAAGACAAAGGAAGGTTGCTTTTTTCTTCTTTTTGTTGTCAGCTCTAACGATATTTGCAACTGCAACAAGACGTTCGTCATCGGCTTGAAAGACGGCACGTTGTAAATCGGATACAATAGCTCGCATTGTGCCAGTGCTCTAAGATTACGCACACAAATCGTCGTCCATATTCAGTGATGTCAATACGAGTACTTGTCAAAGCAATAATTGAATTAAGTACGATCAGCAAGTAAGCTTCTATGCGATAATAACAAACGGTAAGTAATAAGATTTCGGCACTTTTATAGAAAACGGGCCAAACCACCGCACGCATGCGCTTAAGTTATCACATTCAACATTTTCGGTGTTACATATGAATGTCGTGCAATTCGAACTCAACGCAGGAATACGCTTAGGCTTACGCTTCGTACACTGATAAGGCTAACGCATGGGCTTTGGTTTCTGCGCCTGCCTGTGAGCGTGTGGTGTGGCCCGTTATCTGTACAATAACAAAATTTCTTTTCAGCTAGCCGCCTGAAGAAGAAACTAAGGCGTGTGTGACAAAAACTGATCTCAGTATTTTCGTGCATGTCACATGACTTTTTTATACTTGCACTGAGCTTAGGCCAAAAAATATCACTGGGGAAGATTTATAACGATATGAAAACAACATCAGATTCTTGCTTCCGGTAAATTTTGCAGAAATCGTTGCAAAAAATTGTAAAATTATAAATTATAATAAAGTTCTAACTATTATAATAACTTACTGTGTGTATAGATAACGGTAGTTATAACTATAATAGTAGGTGCAAAATTATAACTCGCTGCAGTAACTAACAATAAGTGAAGGCCCATTGCAAAATTTAAACGCATTCATCTTAAAATTTGGCTTAGATGCACAAGATGGACTCCTGGGTTTTTTATAGCAGTCCCTGCAATCCTCGTCAAAAAATAGAGGAACCGGATCTTTTATGTCAGCTTCCGCACACCTCAACCAGAAATATGGAACTTAGATTCCTTTCCTCATCTTCACATATGGTAAAGACGAGTCCACAGAAAAAGCCCCGATACCAGCATTCACCATTGCTCTGTACACACAATAACTAAGCTTGGTACTTTTACTGATAACGGGTGCCACCACGCCATCACAGATGCTCGTGTGCTCATACGTTTCACACATAAGCCGAAGCCCATGCGTTAGCCTCATCACTGGGCTAAACGTAAGTCTAAGCTTAAGCATACTCCTGATTTGACTTCGAATTACATATATACACATGGGAAAAACAGTAACCTAAGTACATGCGCGCAGTGGCGCCCGTTATCAGCAAAAGGGCTCTAAGCTTATTATGAAAGTAACCTTAAAAGTTCACATGCTCCTCATAACGACCATCCAAAATTCTTCGCGTTTGACTGCAGTTATGGCACCCGTGATTTGGAATGCTTCTAAAAAATCGCTCAAGTTCGCTCAACCAGTCTCAAAAGTTGATTTACTGAACCAGATGTTTTCTGGTCGCAATCCAATTACGACTGCAACAGGTTGCCAAAAATTGGCAGAAAGGCAGAATAGTCGAACGTGTGTTATCAATGCATGCTTTCATATCTGAAATTTTGATGTGGATCGAACAAGTCAAAGGACATGCAAGGAAGTAACCTGAAAACAGAGAATCGAAGGTACAGCTCCTAGGTAGTTCAAGCCTATGCCGTTGCCTGAGTGGAATTGTTCATTGTTTCATAATATTATTTCATTACTACTCTACTACTAAGTAAGAAAGATTTTATAACGATCATCAAATAACAAAGATTTTCTAAGAAGCACATAAAGAAGATTTTGAAAAAAACTTACTCATAGCTTGAATGCAAAGTGTTGATGAAAGTATTTAAGAATACAAGAATCAGAAAACGATAAGATTTCCTTACTGTCGAAAATCAGTTCTTAGTGGCTGAGGCGGAACATGTTTCAGGAGACAGCTCTACACCTAAGTTGTTATTTACACCTAGTTTAGACAACAATAAAACACTCGAGAGTTCATCAACTCTCGACCGAAGTTCATCAAACAGGAAATGTTGGGATGACAGATAAACGTGAGGGAACAACCAAGAAAGTGGATGTCGAATATCTTTATTTGTTGACATGTAATCGTTTACTGTTGTAGTCACGCTGCATACCATCACACTTCCAATTCAGTTCATAGCATCTTACGGATCCCTTTTTAATTGATCTGCTAATGAGAACAAATCATCAGAAAATTAGCTATTCCTCAGAAAGTCAGCAAAATTGCCCAAAAAAAATCTGACAGGGTGTAAAAACTAACGTATTGCTGGGAAAAGCTGAGAGTACCGTTGACTTGAAGAAGGTAAACCTATAAGTCATCCTATAATGTATGCATTGATCAATAGGGATACAATAAACATGAATGAGCGCCAAAGAGTCCGTTGCGATAGCTTTAAGGAAATAGCCGAACTCCACATCAAAATATATGAGGGTAAGAATCTAGATAGCAACAATGCGCACGGAAACGCTAGCACTGTGGCCAGCAACGCTATATACGTTTGATAGCCTGGTCAATCCAGGTAATCCAGGTAAGAATCTAGAGGATCAGATGGATCGAATGATGCACAGAAATTTATATGTCACTTGGCAAACTTGAGAATACGGTAGACTCGAAGATGGCAACCCGCATAGAATTGAGAAAATAGCTATATCTCCTCATCTAATCATAACTTCTCGGCAAAATATATGATATTCTGAATGCAGAGATTGTGAGCAATCGAATGGTACGAAGAAATTCATTTTTTACCGGGCAAACTTGGGGTTACGGGTACAAACTTATCGAAAAAGGAGCAAAAAAATTTTCCGCGAAAAAACCCTGATCATGCATACGTACGTACGTACCCCTTACGATCTCAAAATCGGGATTTTCGAGATATCTTATGTCAACTCCAGATTGGCATTTCGAGACAATCCAAACGGCTTTGAGGTGCCCTTCACCATCTGAGTAAGAATATCGCAAGAACTATTCCGATCGGCCAACAAAAACCCGCCTCTCGAGACCCCAAAACCGCAAAAATCGTCATTTCAGGATTTTCGGCCCATGGAGTCATTTTTTGCAAATTTCACAAAAATCATACCAATCGAGCCGAAAAATCCTGTTCCACTCGGTTCTGAAGCATAATCGACGATCGCAATTCGCCTATTGCTAATATGAACGTATTGATTGCTCTATAGTGATCAATTTGTATGAATGAGCGCGACTGCGCTATCGAATTGAGATCGATCTAATTAAATGGCTATAGCTCGTCAAAAAAGCAAAATCACTCAGCAAAATATATGTTACACTGAATGGGGAGATCCAGTTGGATCGACGGATGCAAAAAAATCCATATGTTACTGGGCAAACTTGAGAAGACGGTAGCCTTGAAGGTGGCACCCGAGATATTATTAATAAAATGCCTATATCTCCTCAACAAGGCCAAATTGCTCAGTAAAATTTTTAATATTCAGAATCTAGAGGTTCTGCTGGATCGAACGGTGAAAAGAAATTCGCATGTTTACGGGAAAACCTGAGAAGACGGTTAGCTCGAAAGTCGCAATCAGCCTATTGCTAATATGAACGTATTGATTGCTGAATAGTGATCAATTTATATGAATGAGCGCGACTGCGCTATCGAGTTGAGATAGATCTAAGAAAATGGCTATAGCTCCTCAGGAAAGCAAAATCCCTCATAGTCAGCAAAATATATGAACTCTGAATGAAGAGATCCAGCTGGATCGATTGATGCAAAAAATATCCATATGTTACTAGGCAAGCTTGAGAATACAGGTACCTTGAAGATGGTAAAGATGGTAACCTTTATAGAGCAATAGTATTGTGTTGATATTGATCTACAGTGATAGAATGCATGTGAATGAGCGACTTTGCGCTTGTTGTTGAGATGGCTTCATGAAAATTGCTATATCTCCTCAACTAAGCATTATTCCTCGACAAAATATTTAATATTCTTATAGTTGAGATTCTGAGCAATGTAATGGTGTGCAGAAATCTACATGTTAGTGGGCAATGCTGAGGGTACGGTGAACTCGAAAATGGTAATCCCTATAGAATTGAGGAAATAGTGAACAATGTGAACATTGGTGAGCAATATAAATGTTTCATATTGTCATGAACAATATGAAATATTCATATCAATGCATTTGTGAGACTTGTAGAATCTAAATGAATATGGTCTTCTTTGAAAGGGAAATCACAGAAGAGATTGATATTCTTAGGTCGGTTTTCTTTGATGTTCTGTGTTATAGAGTTTAATTAGACGGTGATAATGACCAATTATTGAAGCAATTTCAACACAGCCCTAATCAAGCATCGAAATAGTGCATCGGAACATATTTGCCCCCATATGGTGCTCTCATACTTTTTATTCAAATCTTAGAAATCATATTCTGCGGTATTCTGTTCGGATATTGACAGTCATATCGATAGATGCATGCATTAATACATAATTTTATCTATTCAACAGTTTTCTTTAAGCTCTCCATATCCTTAGATATTTTATTGCTTGAATGCGATTTGCTCATCAGAGCGATTCGGCTGCATAGAAATTAAAGATATTGAACTTCTCAATTGCATCAATCGCCTTTCACGTACACCTCTTCTTAATTCAGGATGATTATGATATCAATGAACAGTATCTTATCAAAATAATCAGTTATCATTACTTAGAATAGACTACATGTTCATACTCTAGTCTTCCCCTTGATGAAGCAGTTGCAGTAGTGCAATGTCAAATAAATGATCAGAGATCAACTCTTTTTGCGATGTTGTTTACTCAATACATTGTACTTTTGCAATAGCCTTCTGCATGCACTGTGTCAAAAACGTCAAACGACGTTGTATGCTTACAATGCTTTAAACACGCACGTGTACACCCACACACGCTCGCATCTGAAACATAACACCCAGGATTCATGAAACTTCTGCATCTCTACTTTCTCGTATATTCCCGTGCTATTTTCCCTCTCAGTAGTCATCGCAATGCTATTTCGACAATTCTGAGCCAGCTAACGAGAGCAACCACCCCACCTATCAATCGATTCTTTCTCATCTAACTCCACCAAGATGACTTAAACCACTTACAATTCTGATAGCACG